AAAAAAAAAAAAAAAAAAAATAATAAAAAAAAAAATTGAGCGCATCAAAATTTGTGCATGGCGCATGGCGCACCGCAAGTATGAAAAAAATGTATTCAAAATTTCAAAAAAGAAAAAGGCCATTTTTTCACTTTGTCAAGTTAAAAAGAAAAAAATTGTCTTCATTGAAGCTCAAACCTTAAACCATTTCTCAATTACGTGCAGTGTGGCACATGTGCCGCATGTGGGCAAATGTGTGCTCCACGTGCACACAGTATGCTGCAGACTTGTTTGCAGCACTTTGCTGCTTATATTATTGTTGAAGCGATGCTGGAATATCTGAGTGGTGTATGTTCTCGTCAGGGTTAAAAAGACATGCTCTTTGTAAAAGGGAAACATAGGGCTTGCTGTGTGGTTTCTGCGTAAGAATGTAGTGTGTTGTGACTAAGAATCTCTTTCATGTGATGAACAGGGTTCAACATGTTTTTGGTTATGAGCTGGTGCCTGAAGCTGTGGAAGATGCTCGAAGGAATGCAAAGCGGAATGGAATCACAAATGCCACATTTATTCAAGGAGATCTGAATAAACTAAAACAAGATTCTGGGAAAGACTTTCCCAAACCTGACGTTGTGATTACTGGTAGGCTGAGCCTTGCCTGTTCATCCAGTTGATGATCCATCTCTGACTCTATGTAGCCAACAATCCATCTTTCCACCCATGAATTCAGCCGTCCATCTCACTCTGGTTGCCCTTACCATCTGAGATACATCCATTCTCTCTCTCACAACCCACCCGCCCTTCCCTCTTCTTATCCTCTTCCCTTGCTTCTCTGTTTTATGCCTGTCCATCTGTTCTTGCCAGGCATCTATCTCCTCCTTCCTGTTCGTTTATCCACCCATCTGTCTCTGTCTCCTCTCTGTCTCTCTGTCTCTCTGTCTCTCTGTCTCTCTGTCTCTGTGTCTCTCTGTCTCTCTGTGTGTGTGTGTGTGTGTGTGTGTGTGTGTGTGCGTGTGTGTGTGTGTGTGTGTGTG